TATGTGCCTTGCCCAAAATAATCCACCATCATTCTTGGTAAACTCAACTACTCTAAGAAAAAGCTCTACTTGGAGTTTGACCATTATTGACAGGCTGAACATTATTGACTAGTTACCTGAATAAAACTTGCTCTATGAATATAATAAAGGGCTCTATTCTCTGCTATCAAGTTACATGTATATTTAAAAAATTTTTGCCACAGCAGGGAAGGAGTCTTGGGAAGCCATGGTTCCTATTTTAAAAATGCTGCATTTAGAACAGAATTGACAGTTTGGTGAACTGAGAATAGCTCTGCTATCCAGTCAGGTTTTCAGTCACAGTTTTGCATTACTGGATTTTCAAGTTGCATTTATCATTAAAGCAATCAAATATGAACCAAAGACTAGAGCAAGAGATTTAGACTGTATGTGCTTAACTGATTCAACTGCTTTGATTATGTAACAAATAAACTGATTTTTAAACATTCTAGTCAGTTGTATGGTCAAAGTATTTTAGCAAAGGCTGAATTTATGAGGGCAAGCTATTTAAATAGAGATACTTCAGAAATCAATTTAAAAAAATAGGTAACTTAAAATAAAACTAGCAACAAAAACTTGGGCTATTTATTATCTAGATTAGAAAATTCACTTAGAAATGAGAAAATACCCTTTTTAGTTGGTATACTGACAATCTCAGTGAAATATGATCATTCTGGATCGGAGTTTTCCCAAGGTGAACATTCCTGAGGAGCTGATATTTATAGATCCTTTGTCTTTTGGAAATCCTCACCATTAATTATGGTACTTCAGATTATAACTAACTGGCTTGGTTTTTTAAAAATCACAACTTGTTTGTACCGAAGGAAACCAGATCAATAGCTTTATGCCACTCTTTTAGCTCATCCTCAGTGAGTACCACAATGAGTCATTTATTATTATTGTCATTATTACTACATTCTTATTCTTATTCTTTCATCAAAACCTTCTGAATTTAGGGGGTTTGTACTTCATTTTTGCTATTAAAAAGCCATCTAGTGATTGTCACTTATTTATTAATAAAATAGGAATAAGTTCAAAACTACTAATAATATCTTCTGCACTGGAAATTTCTACTTTTAAAACCTCATTAGATTTCATTAGAAGCATGAGATACATACTGTCTCTTGCACACTATAAACAAACTATTTAATGGTCTAAAATAATCACTTTAACATTTGCTGAATGCTTAAATAATTAATCTTTATTGTATCTTAATGTATCTAGTGCTCATCTAGGGACTATAGTTAAGACAGAACCACTGGAACAATCTTTTGAAATTACTGGAACAAAAACTGCTTAGCAGGCATTCAGCAAATTATTTGTTGAATGACAAGAAGACATCTGGCATTGTTATTATAAATAGATAATAAGACAAATAAGAAGGTATTCAGAGATCTTTGTCAAGCATACTCCTTGAGGGGTCAAGAGACAGTAGTTTTCAAGTAGCTCCTTCAGACTTTTGCTAGGTTCACTTAAGGCCAGGTGTTTCCAATGCTTCCATAGTAGCAGTATCATTCCCTTTCTCTTTTCTGAATAATTCATTTATGCATTGATTCATTCAGCCAATATTATTGAATAGCACTTCTTTGCCATGCTGTGAACTAGGCATTATGACTTAAGTCAGAGATAAGAAGGTCTTAGATTTCAGTCAAAGTTCACTGTGCTTTCTCTCTCCTTAGTTTTTTAAGTCATAAACAGTGGAAAAGAGTAACAGAGTGGTATAACAGAAAGAGCATAAATTTTAGAGCCATAAATTGAATTCACCTCATGGACCATCCAATTACTATCTCTGTGGCTTATATAAACTACTTAAGAATTAACCATAATGTCTATAAAACTTCTAATCTAGGACCTGGCTTTTAGATGAACTTTTGAAAAATTTTAAGTATATCCTTCAATTATTTCAGGAAAGAATGATAAGTGCATAGAAGAAATAACTAGTTATCTGAACTAAGATATTCTATTATAATTTTAAAGCTATCTTTAAAGCTCATAGCAAACATGAAAATGTTTCATTTGCCTGCAATTTTATTTCTGCCATAGAAAAAATATATAATAGAACCACAAGGACAATATATGTGACTAATTTTGGCTGGTAAAGCAAGCAGGCATCTTATATCTCACTATTATGCAGCTTCATAGAGGCTGTCTCTCCAAAGATACTTATCACAGTCCAGAAATAACTGAAAATTTAAAAAAAAGAAAAGACACCACCATTTACTTTTCCTCTGACCTCCATATCCTACACCCACAGACAGATACCAGAAAGATCGTTAGTTCCAATACTGGGAACCAAGGGTTGTATTAAGAATTATATACTTATAAAAAAAATACTTTATCAAAAATTATTTGGGAGTCTATTTCACTAAAGCCCCAAAATTAGAAAGGAATTCATATATTTAGATTGGCAATTCTTTGCATACAATAGACTTTATGAAATGTGATCCATATTGCTGCCACACAATCCCACCCTCAAGCCCTTGTGCTAACCGAGCAAGATCATTTCATGAATCCATGATTTTCACAGTTCATTCTCTCTGCCTAGTATGAATCCCCACCCACCCCCATTTAAATTCCTCGAAATCTCCCACTCATCCTTGAAAGAACAGATTGAACTATACTTGATGAACCCCTCCTGAAAGCCCTCATCATTTGTTATTCACTATAGCTAAACACATCTGTCCTCTAGAACAGTAGGTCACTTCTGTTATGATCTCTGAGAGCAGGTCAGCTAAGATTTCCAAGCGCGCATCACTATACAGGGCATATGAGTTCAATGAATGTTTTCTGAATGAATGACTCTTGTTTCCTCTTTAAGTTTGCAAATTGTGTCATACATGTTGAATGGCAAGGAGACATGGCATAGTTCAAAATTAACAGAATTATTATGGTTTAAATCTGGTTTTAAATATCTATGAACATTAAAAGCCAGAATTTTACATTTCTGCAGCCTAGCTAAATAATACCACTTCTTTTTTAATTAACCTTAGATATGGTGACTGCTCTGGAAAATTTAGGTAAGTTTGCTAATATAAAGTGTCCATATTCCAGGTAAAGAGAAGGTGCCATTCTTGAGGACATTCAACCACTTTCAGGAGCACATAATTCAACTTACCATTTAAATAAAAAATCAATAATGGACACTTTAATATCTGTTTTCACATTATTTAATTCAACTGCTATGTTCAAAGGGGTTCTTTTAAAAACATTCTCATCCACCATTCATTTTGTGATGTGAGAACAAATAGGTACAAAATATAAATTATCCTTCCCCACTTTGCATGCATGATCCATTTTTATGTAAATCTATGGTACCCACAAATAGAATTATGATAATAAAAAAATTTAAGAATTCTCTATAGCAGATCAATGGATTTGATCATATGTTATTGTATGGCTAAAGACTTAACGTGTGTATTATGCAAGTGACCAGGTTAACTTGGTAAACAGATAAATAAATTCATATGTGATGTAATATTAAAGTCTACTATCCCATTTGAGTTGCTTTAAGATATTACTAATGTTTAGTAAGTTGCAAATATAGGTAAACAGAATTTATGACATTGAAACCCCGATAGTTTCCTAATACAATTTTTTAATTTTACTGCTAATGAACACAAATATTTTCAAAGACAACCCAAGTATTTAGTAAATAAACACTTCAGCTATTTTTTTTTCAGTACAACTAGCACATATATATGTACACATTTTTTGCTCCAAAGTACAAATTTGGAATGTGGGTAGAATTTTCCTTAGCATCTCCAGTGTCAAACATACGTATTTTTAATGTATTTTCTTGAAAAAAATGATTTTCTATCATTTATCCTGGGCTTGTTTTCAAATGAGAAATGACCCTCAAATGAGAAACTGAAGTACGCATGAAACACAGGACATACTCCACAAAAACCTCACTTATTGAAAAATTTCCCTATTAATTCCCTAAGTTTCAAGTATGTTATCAACAGGATTTTTCTCCTTGAGAATTTATAAATGTTAGATTTTTAAAACAGAAAAGAATGCTTTTAAAATTTCTTATCACAAAGTTTTCTTTTGCTTTCAACTAAACAAAACATCCAAAAATCCATGTGTTACCATTAGGTTAAAATATAAAATCTTGCAAGTGAGGCACATATTGACGCAATCTGATACTCCTCAAAACTAAGAACTTTCCAAGGACTGAAAATATTTTTTTACTTCTAGAGATATATGCCTTTTTAAAAAGAACTCTGTACCCCAAAAGAAAGCTTTTATTTTGCTGTATTTACTACTTAAATTAATTTTAAAAGTTCTTTGCTTAGAAAAAGTTGCAGAATCCAATATGTATATATATGTATACATTTTAATTACCACCTACATTCAGTAGACAAACTGAAAATGACCAATTAATTAGTTAATGTTTTAATGTGAGAGGGAAAAAATATATATTAGGAAAGGAAAACGTTATTTAGTTTACCATGAAATGAGATTGCCTAAGCCAGTGTTCCAAGACTAAGCTAGCTCCTCGGAACTAATGCTAAGTGGTGCTATGTGCAAAAGAGATTTTATAGTTCACTGAAGTTTGGGTATGCCTGTTCAAATAAGTTAAACAGGTAGTGCAGGACCTCTCAGAGCATTTAATATACTAATGTCCATTCTAAATAATGTCATATATTTTAATAGGCAGAATTGTCTAGAACTACTTAAAAATAAAATCTTTCCCCTCTTTCTTTTGTAGGAAATGGGGAGCACGCCTGGGCCATTGGCTAATATACCAGTATAACTACCAGTAGGTCTTGATGTGCCTTTTTTGTATACATATCCCTTTTATGGCTTTGTAGCAATATTCAGGTCCCCCAACTAAAAAATTTTTTGGAGCTTTCATGGAATGGCTACTTTAGCTACTTTACCTTAGTTAGAAATTTACATTCTCTTTTGTATCAATATTGTTGCTTCAGTGGACATTTGTTTTCTAATTTGCCACTTTCAGAAATGGAAGTACCAACCTGAATGCTTCAAGGTACTCAGTGTCTCCCATGGGAGGATTCAGGCCACCTGTCCAGGCAATATTTATATTGAATCCTTCTCCAAGGCCTGTTCCAACCTACAAAGAGGAAAGAAACACACCACAGTGGGCAGAGAGGGCACAGGGAAGAAAGCAAGAAGACAGGAAAACAAACATATGTGAGCTCTTGAAATAAACATCAAACAACATGTCAAATCAGCCCAACCTTCCTTGACAAACCAGTGCTCTGGGTTATGCACTTGTTCTGCACTGGTTCTTGGTCCCCAGAGACAATTCAGTAATCTCACGTAATTTAAAACACCAGCAAAGGACAAGAAAATTAGGGGTAATCATGCAATGCAATTACCTGAAAGATACAAATAAAAGTGGGGCTCTAAAGAAATAAACCGAACCTCATTTGGGGCTCCACTGCCAGGGAAAAAGTTCCCTTCATCATAGCGATGGAGTGAAATATACAGGATGCTGGGGTCAGCATAAAAGGCCTGCTGTGTACCATTTCCATGGTGAACATCCTACAGGGAAAAGAAAACAGATGACAAATACAGTCATGTCTGACTCTGTATAGAGACAACTATTCTAATTTCTAGTTCTTGGTCTTTCTACTCCACCCTCCTTCTCACTTTCTGTCTTCTCAACATGTCCTTCTTTCTTTCTCTCATTCAGCTTGCTTCCACACCACCCCCTTTACTTCCTGAACTTCCAGGCAAATTACCCTTTAATGCACTCATTTTTTAAACTGGCTTCTAAAAATCAGGAAACCACAGCGAACATGCCCTGGAGACTCCAGATGAGCAGTCATTGAGAAAGCCCAGTCCTTTGGTACAATTAGATATTTATACACCGGCCCTTTGTACTCTTTACTTCAGTGATGGAATCTTGCATCCTGTTTTATGGAGGAATTTTATGACTTATTAACTGCCAACAGTTCATAACCCCTCAGGCTTAATTAACTAGCCTCATTGGCCTCTGAAGAAAGACTAATGTTTAAACTACAAACTAGTATTTTGCAGAAGGATCTATGGCTTACAGAGCATTTTCACAATTCTTGACAGAACACTAAACATACGTGTATGCACTGATTTGCCAAGTCCCACCATTAAGGTCAAAGGCTCTGCAACCAGCTGAGTAAATTGGCTTTCTTGAAGCATTCAGTTCAGTTAGCAATCCCTCAGCAGTTAGAATCACTTCAAAAGAGATGCCAGATGCAAAAAGGACTTTATACTTTATTTTGGTAAACTCGTGACAGCAAGAGTCGAAGACACAGGATCATGAGCTCATTAGCTATTAAATCATTTGGGCCAAAGCAGAAAGATGGCATGGTGCTTTATGCATTCTTGTCCAATCTGCCTAATTTTAATATTATATCATGGCTCTCTTCCCAGCCTTCTTCCTCCTCTTTTTTCTTTCCCCACACCACTCCCCCCAATGACTCAAAAGTTAGTATTTTCTAAATGTATTCTGCTACAGACACATACTGGAATTGATAATATAAATGGGAAAAATAAAACTAATAGCATTTTAAAAAATGTCTGCTGAAAGACCTCAAGTGTTAAGAATCTCAATTAATATGTATCCTAGTATCTTCTGAACCAAAATAAAATAGATGACCCTTAAAATTGAATAACCTATATATTTATAGTCAACACAGTACTACTGCTACATGTATAACATACATTGTTTTGGGTTCTGTTATAAAAAAAGTTTTGGTCACTTGTAACTACATATTTATATTATACTTTATTTTACATTAGTAATCATACTATTTTCAATAATTCCTATAATTTTTTAATTAGGCACTATACTAAATATGTTGCATGGATTATTTAATGATTGCATGAAGTATATGATATTATCCCTAATTTAAAAGATAAGTAAACTGAGACTCCAAGAGTTTCAGTAATTTACTGAGTCTATACAGAGAACAAGCAAGACAGAGTCTTGAATCCAGTTCTTACTCTAAAGGCCAAACTCATAGCCATTATACTGTTAATTTACACTTACATTTATTATCTCTTTGATCCTCTTAGCAAACCTGTGAAGTGAGATTGAAGTTTATTACTGCTCCTTACTGAGGTTTATATAACTTGTCTGACTTCAACCATCAGCCCAGACCTCCTTCCCTGGACACTACCAAAGCCTCCCTTTGTTGGGTGCTGAAAGCCTGCACTGGGTTTTCTATCCACAGGGTAGACACACATTAATCCTCTTCCCCTTTTACATAGTACACATAGCCAAAATCAATTAAGGAATCATAAACCATTGGGGAAGACAAGTATCATTCCAGAAACTAGTTCTGGCTAAATGCATACACATCAGGGGAAAAAAGAAAGCTTATTGAAAATATAATAATTCCTCTATTTCTGAATGTTCAAAGGAAGACATGGCAAACTATTTTCCTTATGTGGACAAAAAAGAAACAATTTTAGCTACAATGTCTTTTGAATTTGCTCTGGATACCTTGAGGAAGGACAAACAAAATATTTTGAAAAACAACAGTGAAGGAATGTTTGCATTTCTACTACAGGATAGAATTTTTAGTCAGTTTCATAGGAAAAAATTTGGCTCTGGGCCCAAATTCATCTACACTTTGACAACAGGAAAAACAGTGCTATTTTTTTCTTTACTTTTTTTTCCCTTAGGGATGATATAAAGGTTTATTGAAGAAGGTCAAATAAAAGATGACATTTGTCTTAGATATAAAATCACTTGTTCTTAAAAATGTGTTGGGTGCTTATTGTTATGTAAATTTCTGAATAGGAAATATAGTCTTTCCCACAGCACAGTAAGTTTGCAACAGACATTATTCATTAAAATACACAAACCTATTCTAAAAATCATTCTTGAGTCCACATTCATATCCACAAAGTATTTACGGATAAAGGTAAGTCCAAATACACCTTTCATCTTGGGCAACAACTTACAATATAACCTTGAAAATATTTAAGCTTTCTCTGCTGCATAATATTCACACAAAGTACTTATTGCTCTGGCATAGTCTAAGGTTTGTTTTTTTCTCCATAGCAACAAATACATACTAGACTAACATATGAAAATTATTGGTGATTATGAGGAATTACTACAGTAATGAAATGAACTCAATCATTAAATGCCTTAAAATAGAACTTGCAACTAAGATAGGCTGTTAAAATAGCTTTGAGTAAATTGTATATTCTACCTGCTAATGTTATAACTTATAATAAATGAGTATAGGTACTTGTGCCAATTCTTTGGTCAAGTTTGGTGTTTGACCAAAATAGAACTGCCTAAAATATAAGAACATTTGAAGTGACTTTTCTTTTATGAACAAAGCCTCAAATGTATTATATTCACTAATAGTCACATTATTTAAGATACCTGAGTCTTGCAGGCAAATCCTCCTTCTAGGGCAGGTTAATCCTGTGCATGCAAAAGCCAATCTCTTGCAAGCTGAAAAGTAAGTGCACCTGCTCCCTCTCCTCACCAATCTGAATGTTTTTGGAATCTTCCCCAGAGGCAGAACTGGAATGAGTAAGCTCCACAGATCAACTAGAATCATTCCTGTTTAAAATACTCAACACCTCTGAATTTAGCTGTGGCCCCAAATAGGAGTAAATTAGAGCTCTGGCTCTCTACTTATTAGGCATATAAAATTGCTAAAACAAGCTGCTGGACAATGGAGTAGCTTTGCTTTCTAGTGGCCCAAGATTGATGAAGCCAGTTCACACTGATTAGCTAAAGTTAGTGACTTTGGATATGCAGGAATGAAGTTCTTTTGCCATTAAAAAGTCTTCACTTGTCCGTTGCTAACTTGCAGAACAGACCTGTCTGCCAGGGAGAACGGATGTCTCAGCGCCACGTGGCACTTTAAAACTTCCTTCTCGGCAGCTGGAAGAAACGGGAATTTCCTCAAAGTATCCCTGCAGCTGCAGAATTTGGAAGACTTGAAAGTAAGACTATGTGGGCTGGTGGTGATCTCAGAGGCAACCCTTTGGACAGAACTTTATATAGTTAGAGAATTTGAAACAAAAACTTCTCCTCTACTTCAGCCTGCTGGGAAATCAGTGTCCTTTATGATTGGATAATGCAGCCAATTCATAATCAAAGGCCAGTAAGCTTATAGAACACTCCTTGCAGCTACCATGAAACGTATTTTATAAATCAAAGAGAATTATCTCCAGTAGTCTTTTATTCTTTAACTGTGCAAAAATGAAACTTTATATACACATCCTCTGAGATACAAAGTATCCACTTAGGACAAAACTAGACATTTTAGCTTTCAAGTCTACTGTTCAATACTTTAGAGTCTGGATATTACAAATGTGCTTCCAAAAAGAGTCTTAACAGTTACTGATTATCTCATAGAATGACAAAACAATAGCAGAGAAGATTCCTCAGGAAGTAATACTAAAGGATTCTTATGAATAAGACAGTTTACTAATCCCATTCCCTCATAATTTTGACAAATTTGGCAAATTTTCCCACAACTCTTGGTCTTTATCTGCTTTTCTTTCTTCAAGTTTTTGGCTTCTATTTCTAGCAGAACATACAGCACTGGAAGCATATTAAATTATTTTTTAAATTTACTATCTTATAAATCATGCAAACCAATAATATTAATTATTTAAAATGTCATTTTGTATGTACATGGGAAAAGAAGATACTAATGTCATCATTTTTGTGAAGTTTTAAGATCCTGCTGCTGTTGTACATCTAGGCCTTCAACACATTTCTTTAATGGTGAACTAGTTTGGTTTCAATATTCTCAGCACCAAAGTGCCTGCAGGAAGGCTACAATATTGTACGTGGAAAACATCCATTCCTACCAAGCCCTAGAAATGGTTATCAGTCTTTTGTTCCTTTTATCTTCAGTTCAATTTAACTAAGTATTTCTTCACATGGCTTTGTTCGTGCTCTCTCAACCCTTTGGTGTGCCTGCGTAGCTGAATCAGAGGGCTGGACAGGGAGGCCACGACTTCCCAATAAGATTTAATTATGAGTGCAGATATGAACAAGATTTAGACTATTAAGCCTTGCACTTCAAAAAAACTTCTAACATATTTTGCCTTTAAATCTTTTATCACCTGCAAAAATTAATTAAGTGCAGATGTAGCAGGTTCGCTTTGGATGCCAGGGTTCATTTCCTGTCTATGCTTTGTCAGACAACCTATTACACCTCCTCATGAACTGGAGGCAAACAGAAAACGGGGCTCATAAATCACCAGTCAGCTCTCTCTTGCCCTTTCCTGGGTTGGTCTTTTCGTATGGGGCAGATCTCCAGCTCATTATTCATGAATATACCATAGACAACATGCCAAGTGTCATCTGCATTTAAACAAACCATTTGTTAAACAAATTATAACTCTATTGTGTAAGAACACATCATGCTAAAATGCAAGACTAATCTAATGCCTCTGACTTTTAATCACTCAGGGTTCCTGCTGGGGACTCATCCCAAACTGGCACACAGGATCTGAGATCTTTTCAGAAAGAATGACACGCTGACTTGTTTTAATAATACCGCTGTTGCACAACAAGCAACATGACTGCTAACCAGGGGAAGTGGCCAACTGGTTACCAAAGCAACAGCATTCCTTCCAGCACATCTGACTATTTAAAGTCTATATTCTGTAGGGAAAAGTAAATTCAGGTTCTGTTGGGTTATTTTAACTGTGGAAGTATCAATTCATTTAAGGATCATAAAAGTTGCCCTGATCTGCGCCTTCTTCTCATTAAATTGCAGTTAACACCATGAAAGTGAAACGTGAATGTTTATGGTTTCAGAACTGCAATCCTGAATTTAATGAGTTTCCACATTCAAAGGAAACGCACCCTTCAGTTGTTTGCAAGTGCTAAAAGCAAGACAACATAAGAGAGAAATACAAATTCACTCCCTTTTATCTAGAGTCACTGAAAATGCAGCTCTGGCCAGGAATACATACCAGATCTACAATCAATATCTTGCTTATATTTAGTTGGTCTCTCAAGTATTTGGCGGTAATTGCAACTGAATTAAAAAAGCAGAACCCCCTGCGGAATAGAGAAGAACAGAGAAATAAGAAAGCAAATCAGCCAGGAAAACCATTATAAATAATGTTCAGAGCATTTTTTAAAATGCTATATGATCTCCGAAGCCATAAATCTGCTTCTGGGAGTACCTCGCAAGATTTTTCAGCCCATCTGCTAACAATTAAAGGCTTCAGAGACATGCACGGGGCAGGTGACTGACCGCCAGAACTGTGGTGCTTGGAGATGGGCAGCAGTCCTTGGTACTCACATGGCTGTGGATTCCTCAGCATGATGGCCTGGGGGCCTTACAACAGCAAACCCATTCTGTAAGAACAAGACAGGTTTTCAGTGATCAGATATGGGAGGTTTGCTTGGCTCCCTATGTACTACAGAGCATCAGGCACACAGAAAAAGAATGAAATCTGTGAAGGCTTCAGAGCTTGTTTTTATTCCTCCCATTACTATTTCATAGAGTGAAAAGAAACAATATATGTGATCACATTCTCTCAGGTCGTGTCTTAAAAAGAAGGTTCCCACAGAGCCAGGGGAAGCACGGGGATTTGGGAGTTGTACCTAGCTGGCAAATGTACACATCAGCTGTTACACTAGCATGATTCATTTTCAAGAACTTCTATTTTATTATACCAGCATCCTATGGAGGAAGAAGAAATTTACTCTTGGTGCTGGTTTGGGTCAAAGTTTGGAAAGACCAGGTAAGATCCAAGGTGAAAATTCTTTAGCTGGATTCCCTCAATGGTTATTTCTACTCTATTGTCAGCAAAATGATAAATTTACACTCACACACTCACATACACATAAAAGAAACCCCAGAAAGGTGAAAAAGAGAACGATGGAAAGCCCATATTTCTTCTAGTCTATAAATTTAGCTTGGATGACTGCCAAGACTCGAAACATTATTGGATTCCCTAAGTCAATTTCTAGCCCTTGTTCTGGAATTTTATAAAGAATTCCAGGGCTGAGTAACAATCAGATCTAGCCTTGATCAAGGATTGCCTTAACCTCCAGATTAGTTGGAATGCATCACAGAAAGCTGAAGTAACTCCAGCATGAAGGCAGGGAACTATAAATCCTTGCAAAGCAGCATGCTCAGAAAAGTTGGGTTGCTGGATGTAAAAAAAAAAAGTCATTTATCAGATAGTTCACACCATCTTTTACTTAATTATGACTCAAGTAACATGTTCAAAAAAAGAGTACTTCCATATAAAGAACACCTAAAACTTCTGAAATAATTGTAATATACCCCAGGATATTTTTTGCCAAATCTTACTATACTCACAAAGATAGTATCAAGAAAAATAATCTATTCAGTAGGGTTTTAAATATACATAAACTTTCTACAATGTTGTCATAATTCACACACAATGAGTTAATTGGTGATGTATTTTGATTATCATATACATAAAGATAATCTCAGAAGCAAATTAGAAGTCAACACAATATCAATTACAGATGTAGGAATGATAATAAACTTATCTCCTTATTCTTGTTTTTAAGGTACTTATTGGTTCTTTGGTGACAAAAGATTAATATGAAAGAAATGATTAATGAGGCACACAACAGAGGCTAAAATTTTAAAATTGTAAAGTGAGACTATGGAGTGCTATAGGATTCCTGAGAGTGGAGAATTCAGTAGCGACCATTATAGGTGCAATTTATTTTATTGGGAAAACAGTAGAGTGAAAAAACAACAAATATAATACAAGGTGATATAATTAGCATACAATGAACTTTTAAGATCAGCATAACAATTCTAATGACGTTTACCATTCAATTAAAACCACTATTTTTTATGTGCAAGGGAATGCCTAGACAATACAGACAAGAAAACATCCAGTGATCTATAACTAAGAAAAAATATTTAACTGAAGTAGTAATTAAATAAAAGGAGATGAAAATCCCAATGGGAAAATACTTTTCCAACCAGGAAATTTGAATTTTTAAAAATACTCTTATGTTGACAATGGAATGGCGCCCTATACTTTCATAAATGTTGCTTGGAGGAGCATTATTATAGTTTTTCTTTTATTATAGAGCCTTTAAAAACCATTTAACTTTTGAATAGTAATTTACTTAAAGGATTTTACCCTAACAATGTTATTAACTATGTTGACAAATATTAATGTAAAATGCAGTATTTTACTAGCAATGGGAAAAAATGGAAATTATCTAATTTAGCTAATATTAGGAGAACATTTAAATAAGTTATAGTAAATCTCTTCCATGGAATATTAGACAGCTATTAAAATTTTGTTATAAATATTTAGTGGCACAGAAATATATCAGTTTTAGAAGTATTAGTGTTAAAACTTATATACACAGTATATCTGAGTGAGGACATTATGTGGGTTATTTTTAATTTATAATTTCATGTCTTATACAAATGGTATTAAAACAAACATTAATTATTGCATAGTGAAAGAACTATAAAACAGAAAACTGAGAGGTAGATTTTAATGGGTCTTACAGTAAGAGTTGCGTTCACAGAGTTAGAAAAAGAAAGGGTATTCTGGGCAAGTGGAAAAGCATGTACAATGGCTCAGAAGAAAAGATTTTATGAAGCATATCATATAGGAAATTCATCTTGAATAGAGATCATGTTAGGAAGAGAATGGAAATGAAATTTCATAGGTAATTAGCTAAATTATAAAGGATAAAAAGTCAAATAGAAGTTGAATTCCATTTTCCTCTTTTCCCTTACAGCCAAATTCTTTGAACAAATGTTTTGCCTTCCACTTTATAATCTTCCACAGTACCCTCCATTTTGCTAACCTCCTTCTGAAACTGCTTGATTTCGGATTGAAAATCATCTTCTTGCCAGTAATGAACATTTTCTCATCATCATGATCCATCCAACCCTTCCACGGTGCTCTCAGAATCAGCAAGCTCCCCTACACTTGCCGTATCTTTTCTGGGTTGCTACCTTGCCTTAGCTGAAACCTGGCAAGGCTGCTGCTCCCACAATCTGCTCAAGCGGTAGGTGCTTCCTCTCTCACATATTATGCAGTAGATTCTCATGTTTCTCACTGCTGCTTTGAAAGCATGAAGCCTACTGCACCCACCCCTGCAATACTCTCTTGTAAGAATGGACTGCATCACATGAAAGAGAGAAGAACACAGTTTAAGTGAGTGAGACTGAGTCCTGAGTCTGCCCCTCACCCTATCCTCCTGTTATACAAGAGGAGGTGCTAGTCCTTCTAAATCTATCTCACCACCCTACAGTTAGGATCCCATCCCCTCCTATGTTTCCACTATCTTTTTTTTCCTAACATATTACATTCATATTAAAATTCCTAATTACATCTATTTAATTGAAATTTCAATAGAATTAAAAATTCTGCCAACTTGAAAACAAAATTTTATGTTTATGTTAATAATACATATACATACATATATAATATATGATATATATTTCCATCCTTAATCCCATTGATCCCTCCAACTGCCTCACTTCTTTTCTTCCCTTTTAGCAACCAAACTTCCTAAAAAAGGTGGTCCTTCTTGCTTTTCCTCTCCTTGCCCTCACCTCTGCCTCAGTCATCTAACTCTACCTTATCTTCCACTTCCATTAGTCCACTAAAGAAGCTTTTACTGAGATCACCAATGGCCTCCATGTCACTAAATCCAATGACATTTTTATGCTTTCCCCTGCTTGGCCCCTCATTAGCTTTTAACACTATTAGCTACATCCTCCTTTTTAAAACACTCTCCTCCCTTGGCTTCTGTGACTTCATACTCTCCTGGTTTCCTTATCTCACTTTCTACTTCCTAATCAATCTCCTTTGAAGGCTCATACTCTTCAGCTTGCTCATTAACTACTGAAGTTAATCACAGTCCAGTCTTAGACTTCACCTCTCCTCTTTCCACATTTACATAGAAGGCATGCCACTATTCTCATGGATTCAATTACCGCCCATCATCAGCTACTTCACAAATTTCTATTTCCAGGATGAACTCTCCACTGAGCACCAGACCAAAATACCAGTCCACCTACTTGGTATCTTCACTTATCTCAAGGTCACCTCAAATTCAATATATCTAATACCAAACTTTTGGTCTTTTCCCAGTGTTCTCTAACTTACCAAGGATCCCATGATTTACCTAGTGGCTAAAGTCAGGGACACATGAGTTATCCTTAATGGTTCCCTCTCTCTTTCTTCCCTCCATCTCATTTTAATTCATGAAAATTCCTATTGATTTTGCTTCTAAGTATCACTCAAATCTACATAATTATATCTACAGTTACTCCTTGAATATTTTGCCTTTTGAATTCCTACCTTTCTCCCCATTACTCCTCTAGGAATTATTTGTAGTATTTTAATATCCACACACTCTTTTCAATACCTGATTACTCAGTTCTCTGGTTCCTTGCCTTCAATCAATTTGTCTTCTCTTTATAGTCATACTTATACACCCTCCATCATCTCCTCCATAATCTCAATGTTAACATCCTACTCTCCTACTATCCTATGTTTCAGTTAATGCCTCAATTGCACTGAGACTTCCAGTCCATTGACCTTCTTTAACTTTTGCTGCCAATCATTCACTCCCACCACCATGTTCATTTTCCTTCTTGTCTGGTTAGACTTCAGAGACCATCACTGTATCCACTTTCTTGCATATTTTTCAGACACCTTTGTCTGTCTTTTTCCCTCCAAGATACTTCCCTGGTGTATTAGTCTGCTCAGGACACCATAACAAAATACCAAAGGCTGGTTGGCTTAAGCAAAAGAAATGTGTTTCTCTAATTCTGGAGGCTGGAAGTTGAGATTAATGTCTGGCAGGGTTCACGACCTCATGTAACCTTTAGCACTTCCTCACAGACCATTTCTCGAAATACAGTCACATTGGGAGTTAGAGCTTCAACATATAAATTTGGAGGGCAAAACATCCAGCCCATAAATACTTTCAGTCATTTTGCCCCTTTCTTCCTTCACAGCATACCCACCCTGTTAAATACAACTCACATCTGCTCTGTTTTCTGAATCTACGTATATACAGAAGCCACATGACTGGTCTTGCTCTAAATTCATGATTACAAACTTCTAGTAGGCTCCTCATTATTGCCCAGAAGTCATCTATACCTCTTAATCAATAACTCTCTAAGTCTTTCAGATGAGAATTTCTACCTTGTTCTCTTTCTTCAAATCTCCATTAACCCCTACTCACTCTTTACTCTTTGCTGATGACTTTGCTTCTTATTTCACTTAGAAAATAGAAGCAGTTAGAATAAAATTTCCTCATCTATGCATCTACCCCCACCAGTGTCTGATCCTATCTAAGAGCAATTAATTATCCAATGCATT